ACTATGTTAATCTTCGGTCCTGTTTAAAATTGGTAATCTTTTTGAAAAAAAGTTATTTAGAAAATAGTTAAGATATTTGTTATAGAATGCCGGTAAAGAGCCAAAAAATTAAATTTATTAAAAAGTTGAAATTTTTGTTGTTTTTCTTTAAAAATATAAGTTTTTCGCGGTTTAGCGAAATTCTTGGTTCATTTTTACAAGGATTCGCCTGAACCATTTTTTTTACAATTTTTTTTAACTGCCTCAAATGTAAAATTGATTTTTGGTGGAGGAGCGCCCGTCATGTTTGCTCTTAAAGATAAATATCTAGGATCTAATTTACAACAAATTCAATAATTTAATAATCATATCGATTTTAGTAATAATATGGACATTACATAGATCAAAATAGAAATTATGTGTTTGACATTTTCTGACAGCTACTGCGGAAAGTAGCATATTCGTACGCGGGTGGAAAGTAAATTCTTATTCATACGCGTGTGATATAGGGCACTTTCCATAGGACTATATAGTGTGATATGTCTCACTTTCCTAAGTGGTCGTAGGAAAACTATTTTTTATTACCTGCAAACAATATTTAGAAAAAAACTCATAACTGTAAAAACGTATATGTCAAATTCAATGAGCTTTTTGTTAAAAGTTTGGTTAGAAATGAATTGTCAGTGGAAAATTGCGCCACACTAATATGTGAAGATAGTCCTATAGTGATAGCAATATATTTTGCTTGAGATTGGGGCACGTTGAATTAAATAATAAATATAGGTGTACCTATGCAAGAAAAATTGTATGCATAATTTTTTTTTCAACATAAAATATTGAAATCAATCTTCATTCATCATCACCATTATATTCATCAATATCATCGTTATCACTACTTGAGTGTCTCGACTGTCTGGTTCGTTAAGTAACTTTTTACCACTTCAGAAGAAACATGTGTTAATTTTTTTGAAGGTAGTCGTCTAATCGTGGATATTTTAGGATCAGAGGTGATCAATATGTTTAATGATTTCTTAATTAAATGTGTGCACCAAATTTAGCCAAATTGATTTTTAAAATTTTTAATTGCTTAAAAGTAACCTTTAACGTATACCAATAAGTTTAATATATTTAAGGAAAATCAAGAATCAATGAAAATCTATAAGTAGTAATTTTGTGTTATTGAAGAATAGTAAAAGGGAAAAGGGGTCATTGTACATAAGTGATATTTGTATTAGTCTAACATCCGAAGTAAGGTCGATCTTTACCCATCTGTTTAATAGATAAATTTTTTTTATTAAATAAAATATGTTTATAAATATACCGCAAATGGTTTGCCTAAGAAAATAAGGTTAAGAATTTTCTTAAAGTAAAAACGACAACCTGTAAAGTAAACCTCAAATGCTTCGACTATGCCCAAAATTTAATCAGCTCAGCGCAGGATGAATAGTTAAAGCTTAAGTTTAAAATTTGGTGTTTTTCTCTTTCCGTTTTTCAGTTAACTTAAAAATTCGAAATTTGCACTTTTCCTCAAATATCTCGAATTCGCTCCGTGCGCGACAGCAGCGCCAATTCGTTTTGATACTAATGGACTATTTCTGCGTATACTGACAAATGCAATTTTTAATAAAATTCGTAATTAAAGAGTATATATGTTAGTTTTAATAAAAGTATATGGATTTGTAAAACAAGTAAAACATTAATTTATTATTATATATTTTTATCTCTTAAATTAAAGAAAATTATGTATAATCAATAAAAATGAATAATAAAATATAGGCAGGCAACAGTATTTACTGGAAAATGTATGAGAAGTTGCCTAAGTCTAATAAGTTGTCATTGAAGAATTAGCCTGTTGTCAAAAGAAAAAAATAACATTTAATAATAGCCTGAAGTTAAAATGTATAAAAAAAAGGATCATCATTTACATTTTCATTTTTGTTGGAAAGAAAACATAGAATGAATGATTAGAACTGGTTTCCCATCAGTAAGTCACAAAATTGCATTCGATCCACATATAATAATCAAAGGCAGAAATCTTGAAATCTAGTCCTTGCTGAATGAACATTTAAGAATAAAGGGATATTAAAGAACATCGTAAAATGATAATTTATTGTTTATTTAAAACCTTTCAAGTTTCTGATGTCTACTATTTCCACCATTACTGTTATTATTACAAAAATAAAGGTAATTTTTCTTCTTATTGTACACCTATCCATTTATTTCTTTGATTTAATTTCCACTTTGCTACTAAATTTTTTTATAAAAGTTTCACTGTTTTTTTTTTGCTACTATTTGTACAATTTCAACACAGCAACTCCGGTTACCTATTGTATTGTTTTTACCTACTTTTTTGAAAAAAAGTAAAATATATACGTGTATTTGATATGCCAAAATTACAAAATATCGCCCTAAAATGCACGAATTATCCGCAGCTAGCGCTAGTATCGCTTTTGCTTCCCTTTCCATGACTTCGCACGGAGCGAATAAGGGCCATTTTAGGGAAATCATGTAAAGGACCAAAATTATAGAGAATGACCTCACAAGCAACTTTTATCATGATTCCTACACTTTCCTTATCTGTATACAGAAAGGACAGTAAAACTTAACCGCGACCGTATTTTCTTAGGCAACCCATTTGCGGTATATTTATAAATATAATTTATTTAGTAAAAAAACTTTCATCCCTTAAACAGATGAGTGAATGTCGACCTTACTTCGGATCCTGTACTATATTGTGATTCGCAAGTATTTGCAGAATTTATTTATTTGTCCTGCTGCAGGACAATCCATTATATAAGTTAATTACAATAATATGACGGAAATCTACGGAAATCATATCCATTGGTCTACACAAAATAAATAAATAAATAAATAAATAAATATAGAACCAGAAACTGTGACAGTTTGTTAAAATAAATAAAACAGAAGCAAATAAAAAAACAACAATAAATGAATTGCGCTAGATATATTCTGGAGGGAGTTATAGTCCAGTGTAGAGTGACATTTCTACTATCATTTACAGAACTATTGCAGTCATATATTGTAATTCCAGTTTTCGGATTTTGGCCAAGTTTTAGGAAAAATATACCACTGTATGCAAAAACCGAGATCAAAACCTAATAAAATCTTAATATGATAAATAAATGATTGAATAAATATGTCAAAAAGAAATGACTTATAAATGCTTTTAATTTTTTTTCCTACTTTTAAACAATTATCGTCCAGGCGTATAGTCCACAAAAAATAAAAAATAAGCATATTCTTAGTATCAATCTAGGACTTTCTCTTATGGTATTTGTCATTTCTTAAAATGTAAGAAAGTAATGGAATCTATATATCATCAAAAACAGGCAGAAGCCTGTCGCTGCATGTCTCATTTTGGCGTATGAAAAAAGACAAACAAAAATAAGTAATTCGCAGCTTATTTCAGTATTTAATAGAATATCGGTTTAAACTAAACGAATAGATTAAAATAACCAAAAAAGGTTGACAGCTGTGTGCACGTAGTTTAGATTCAAAAGGAAAAACTTGTATTTCGTGCAAAACTTTTTTATTAATCAATGCAAAGCGCTTTCGGCTTATTTGCCATCATCAGTGCTCATCTACAAAAATTGTGGATGTAAACTTACAATTTAAAAAGATTTTAAAAAATATATTATAAAATCTGAATTAGACTTTTAAGTCAAAAGTTAAAATAGTATATATACAATTGTTTGAACAAATTAAAAATTACAAGAAACAAACAAAGTGACAAAAAACTGGTATTGGGAATAGTGAGTGTGGGATAAGCCCTTACAAATCAAATCTGATCTCCAGAAGCAAGTTAGCTTGTGTGGAATTAAGGAATCATGCCACCCTCACTATTCACAAAATTGAAAAAAGGTTAACAAATTAGTTAAAATTGTCTTGACATCAAAATAATAATATCATTTATATTAAACATTTATTTAAATTTAACTAACAATAAATTAAATCTTTAAATTCAATAACAAATTTTGATCTCCGTTAACCTCCAATCACTCGAATCACACTCGGAGAAAGATGTTCCACACTCCTCCTTCTGTTGACATTTGACAAGTCAAAGTCTTCAAGTGTCGCTTGTCACCACTGTCATGTGGAAACGGTTAAACAACTTGAACCAAAATGAAGAGAGAAATTTGAAAATATTAATATTAATAAAATTATGATTTAGCAAGTTGTAAATATCCCGAAATATATAATTTTGGGAGTGAGGATGACCAGGAACTTGTTGGATACGTTGTGGACAGTAGGTAGACTTTTTCATAATTATAATGTATATAAAATATATAAAAAAACCTTCAGTTTTTTTACTTTGGCCTTCTGCGTTTTACTTTCTTCATATCAAATATTTTATTCTAGATTCAAATTTCAATATATCTTCCAGAGTCACCCTCTAATTTTATATTTCTTTAAATTTTAACTAATTTGTTAACCTTTTTTCAATTTTGTGAATAGTGAGGGTGGCATGATTCCTTAATTCCACACAAGCTAACTTGCTTCTGGAGATCAGATTTGATTTGTAAGGGCTTATCCCACACTCACTATTCCCAATACCAGTTTTTTGTCACTTTGTTTGTTTCTTGTAATTTTTAATTTGTTCAAACAATTGTATATATACTATTTTAACTTTTGACTTAAAAGTCTAATTCAGATTTTATAATATATTTTTTAAAATCTTTTTAAATTGTAAGTTTACATCCACAATTTTTGTAGATGAGCACTGATGATGGCAAATAAGCCGAAAGCGCTTTGCATTGATTAATAAAAAAGTTTTGCACGAAATACAAGTTTTTCCTTTTGAATCTAAACGAATAGAGTTTAGAATAAATAGATTAGCAGCAGTAGCAGATCAGACTTCCAAGAAATTAAGAATATGTTCACCCTCAAAATCAATGATAAATAGCTTGAACTCAGTTGCTCCTGTAGAAGGACCAGGCTCATAGAATTACAAGTCCAAAGTATAAAAAAAGAACATATTAAAAAAGAACGTTAATACTCACTATATCATCGTAGGCGTCCTTGACGGCAGTGAGTCCGAGTACACCGATGAGGGGTAGCGCTGTGGTAACCGGAGTGAGACTGCTGATAGCCGGTATCAGCTGCAACACCAAAAGGCACAAAAAGTAGAAGTTCGCCAAGCGCTGGAACTGTTCGAACAGGTTCAGGGGCAGGAACGTCAGTAACGAGTATTTCGAGGTCTTTATGTAGTTACTCTGAAAAAAAAAAAAAAAAAATTATTTGGTCTTTAGTTAGGATTGTGATTATGTGACATCAAGACTATAATGGTATAGACGCAAATATATTATCTCAATCTCCACTCAACACAAGTAGACTACTGTCTGTTTCTGCAAGTACTTCTATTATACGAGTCAACGGCCAATCATTCAAGTTTCAGCTGTCTTGCATTTTTCTGGTTATTCATCTATTTCAGTTCTCCTAAATACTCAATCTAAACCGCATCCACTTTATCAGTCAGGTACACCTGTCCCTTTAATATCCTGTATAAACATCCTGGTGTTAACGCCTGTAAATCGTCCACAGCCTCTATTACATACGAAATGGGACGGATATTAATAACACCCAAGATCGTCCGCATCTCCTCTACATCTAAATGCGTTTTCCCTAATGGGCTACGCAATAATTCTTTTAGCAACTTCATAAGCCTTTCCCACCAACCACCCCACCATGAGGCTGTGGCTGGGTTGAACTTCTATATAATTCCTTACATTGAATTATGTATAAAAATATATCCCAATTCAGTTTACTATAAGCATTATTTGTCCCTAAGAAATTTGAACCATTGTCTATGAAAATAATCTTAGGTCTACCTTTCTAGCAATAAAACGTCTTAAAGTTTGAATATAAACTTCTGTTGAAACTGTCCCGTTTTAAGATAAAGTTGACTAGCAAGGTCTGCTCCAACCACTTCGAAAGCTGCAGCATCTTTAACTCTGTCAACACAGTGGAAAAACTTTTACAAATTACACATTTAAGAACACCAGTTTTGATACTACGACAAAACAAATGTTTGCATATTACGAAGGATGAGAACCAAACAGCTATGTCTTGTATAAAACGAGGCTGAAGCAGTAAAGATTCGTGTTCGAATATTGTAAAACAAAAAAAAGTTGTGGAAATTGCGCGAGATGAGGCATATTTTAGTTTTTGCCAGTTATATCTCGTCGACAGCAAATAAAAATGCAGTAAGGAATCAAGGTCAATTGCCATATATTTAAATTAATCGACAAAGTATTTAAGGATATTGTAAAAAGGCTAAATTATCCGGAAATAGATTTGTTTGCCACAAAAATAAATTAAAAAATGTCCAAGATTTATTTCATGGTTTCCAGTCCCAGAATCTGGATGCATTTACCTTAAATTGGATAATGGTGAAGATATTACTTTTGTCTTTCCTGCTTTATGCTAATATCAAAAGAATTAAAAAAACATTCAAACCAGCAAAATATTTGCTTATTTCTCCTTTTAGGAAGAGCCATACACGCCACAACGATTTCCCTGGTGGCAGGGAAATTGTTCGAAGTTTTAAAAACATATTCGTTCTGAAATTGGCTAATTGAACACCCAGTGATATCTAAATTGCATTGATTAGCCAGTCGCCAGTCTAGGTAGAGGCACATGATAAGCATAATATAATTTCAACATCTCCAACAGTAGGTGCCCTAAAACAATATGTGGCCGGTTTTAGGAAATATTGGAAATTTTGTATAAGTATAATCAACAAAATCCTATTTTATATAATTTACATAATTAAATAAACAATGGAAATTCATTTTCAGTTTTGAATTCATATAGGGCAGCGTTAAATTTAAAATTTAACCTACTAAATTCCAATGATTAAAAAAAAAACAAATATTCTCAGATTTTTGAAGGCGATTTTAAGACATCTTGAAAAATTAAACCCTCTAGAAGAGTTGACACATATACTTGTTACTCTTATGGCTTTAACATGAGTCAGAAGAGTACAGACTCTTCCTTGATTAAACTCCAATACATCGTTAAAAAGGATAGAAATTAAAATCTTTGATAGAATAAAGATGAGACATATTATCAAGGAAACACGAGTAGAAGGAACATATTATACTGACACGATCAGGGCCGCCGATTAGTCGTTGGCTCAAAACTGCTCATAGTGTACGCCACGCATCAACATCTGCTGCGTTTAGGGTAGGTGTAAGTATTGAATAGATAAGAAATACCGCAGGTTAGACTCCTTCTTTTGAAACATTTTTTCAATTTTATAAGAAAACTATAAAAGAACGCAAAGACACATTTGCTAAAGCTACCATTTGCAAACGCGCGACAGACGACCGACGACACCGTAAGGCGACAAATATTGCCATACTAAATCTGCTGTCCTCCGTCGCGTCTTCCGAAATGTATTTCATATAATTAAGTGTTCGGTCTCGTTCGCTGTCGCCTCGCGTTTTGAAGTCGGTCTCGGTCTCCTCTTCTGAAATGGTAGCTTAACACTATTAATCATTTGGAAACTAAATCAATTATTTGACCTATTCTAAAATTGTGATCATACAATAATTTTATTATTCTCATTCAGTTTTTAGCTAGCAAGTAGTCATAATTTTTATAAATGTAAATATTTGTTTATTTAATTACGTTTATGTTTATATAAATAATTATTCAGAAAATCACCTTTCCTTACTCTGAACATCTACAATGTAACAATTATATCAAGGACAAGCGAAGGAAAATTAAAAAATTAGTCAACTTACCTTAAGGAAGATTAATTATAATTTTTCGAGCTTGTCCGTAGATACAATTATTTCCCATCCCACCCTAATCTATGTGGATACATATTTAGTTCCCAGATATCAGGTGATTTTCGTAACTCGCACTTCAACGGAATGATATACGAAGATTTGGTATACGATCAGGAGTGAATATGGGGCCATTTTTTTACTCTAGAAAAAATACGTGCTGATGAGTATGTTTCAAGGAAACAACAATGTAATAATTATATCTAAGGACAAGCTCGGAAAATTATAATTAATCTTCCCTGAGGCGATTAATTTTTTAATTTTCAATTGATATATTTTCAGTTTGGGGGTTCAAATATAATTTTTATTATTTCGTAGGATTAATAAAAAAATGTTTTTTTATTAAACCTTGTATTATATACAACTGTTAAAAAACTAAAATTCTCATATGAATATATTTATATATTGTTTGTGCCAAGCATCAATCTGATAAAGCTTTTTGTAAGGAATGACTGGTCACTTGGTGAACCTCTTACATTATTTTATTTCAACGCGATATTTGGCACATGTTTACTTTTATATTACGAGTAAAAAATGGTTACTTTGTTACTTACCGGAACATAATGTTGAATAATAATCGATAAACGTGCGTTTGGAAAAATGCCTATACCTACTTTTCGTGTCTCACACAAATCGATATGAAAATCAAATATTTTATGCTAATTTAACGACCCATTCTACTCGTAAATATTTTTCGAAGTAAAATTCTTTACGACATATAAATGATACACACATATGTGGGCCAAAGAAAACAACATTTCGACTGTTAAATTTCAAAACCTCGTAATTCCAATTTTGGGTCATAATAGTGTAGAAATAACGAAAATAAACTTTTTTTATTTTATAAAACAATACAATTATATCTAAAAAGTAAAGATCGTATTATATTATCAGACAGACAGAACAGTTCGTTTTTGGTTCGTATAAATCGTATACCAATAAATACTGAAGGTTTTCCTATCATATGCATATAATATTCGTAATACAATAGAGCGTAGATAATCCGGATTAATTGTGACCGGACCCTGTCCGGATTATCAAAATGTCCGAATTTTCCAAAAGAACCAAAAAGGGTCGTTTGAGTTCATAACAAAAAGAAAACTTGCTAAAACCGTTAATAATTCACTTTTGTGGTTAAATAATTGAGCTGATAAATAAAACCGTTAATTAGTATGAACTAATAATATACACACAACCAAACTTATATTGAATCACTGTGTATTTCTGAAATGACTTTTTGCAAGAAAAAATTTGGTATCCAACTTTAAAATAAGGCTTTTTGTTCAAAACAAACATGATAATAAAGGAGAAACGACTGCTGCGATTTATTATCTTGTGAATTTTGTGTTCAGAAGTAAAATCACGATCCTCCGGTAATTTAATTTCGGTTCAAAAAAACAACAAAATGCCTTATTTTGGACTAACAGATGTGCAGAGTGGGAGAATTTAGTGCTCTTATTAAACAGGGAATGTCCCAATGAGACATTGCAGAGGTAGTAGGCATAGCAGAGTGTTGTATCGAAAGCATATGAAAGGTACTTGAAACTAGAAACTCTCAAAAACAGGACCAGACAAAGACCTCAAAAAGTCACAACTGAGCAACAGGACCGCTTTGTGTTCCAAATTGCTAAAATAAATCCCAGTGTTTCTCATCCAGAGCTACAACGATAACTTCTATAAGCTACAGGTGTGAACGTTTCAGTTGAAACCCCAAGAAAAAGATTTCGTGCTCGAGGATTGTACAGTAGGAGTTACGAGTACCACCATTATGTAGGCAAAATAAAATTGACTTCCTAAATTGGTGCCTTTAACACCAAAACTGGACAATTGAGAATTAGAAAATGTTCTTTTTTTCGGATGAGACCAGAATTGGCCTAAGATCAGATGACCATCGAATTCGGATTCTCAGAGCTCCAGGAAGATGAGCGAGACTCCACGCTGCCAGATCTGTCCCAAGATATCAAGGAGGAACTGTAATTTTCTGGGGAGGTATTATGCTGGAAGCAAAAACTCCATTGTTACCACTTCAACAAACTTTAACCGGTCCGAGGTATGTTGATTTAGTGCTAGAACCAATCGTTAGGCTTTGGAGAGCTGCAATTGGGGATAATTTTATCTTTATGCACGATAATGCACCTTGCCATACCAGAAGAGTGGCAAGAGAATGTCTTGAAACGAAAGGTGTCACAGTTTTAGACTGGCCTGCATGTTCACCAGACCTAAATACCATCGAACACTTGTGGGACCAGCTCAAAAGAAGGGTTAGAGCTCGTCGAAACAATGCACGAAATGTCGCACAGCTTATTGATGCAACATTAGCAGAATGGGAAAACATACCCCCAAGACAATGTTGACAATTTAATAAGAAACATGCCAAGGCGAAAAGAAGCTTGCATAAGGGCTAGAGGTAGCAATAAGGA